TTGGCTCCCATTTTTTCAAAACTAATTTTCAACCATATATTTCTTTATAAAATAATTTAACATGTAAATCGAAAACTTTTTCTTATTTTTTAGCAACGCGTTCTCTAAAAAAATACTATTCTATAACACATTAACGGGGCTCAAACAAGGGCTAGGTCTTCTGTATTCATATTTATTATAAAAGGAAAAGACATTTGCAGTTAAAATTTCATTTCATAGTTGTGTAATTAACTAACTAATTAAAAAAATATGGATAGTGAAAAATTAAATCCGACAATCCATATCAAAACAGGATTATAAAGTATTGATCCACGTGTATTTCATAAATTCACAGATTTCTATTGACAATACAATGTAGGAATTCTGACAAAATTTTGACACAAAACAGAAGCAAATTGCTAAGGTATGGGAATAAAGATTCCAAAGCCCTAACACATGATGATCAAAGCAGATGAAGCAAAATTACCCAACTCAGCAGCTTAAAACATCCCAACATCAATCTCAAACCCTTCTCCATTTCTGTGCATCACCGTACTCGACTGGACAATATAATATACAAGATCTAAGCCTCTATTTCTGCTTTGATACTGTAATGTGCTATCCAATCTTTCCTACATCAAACATGCCTTATATTATTTACAATCGCTTGACATGTTTTAGCCATGGAGTAGTGCAACACAAACCGGAAGATCAGTACAAATTTCAAAAACTAAGGAACCTTTTCTTGTGATTCATCAATTACTGAATTTTTCACTGAAATCCCATCAAGAATATCACTTTCTGAATCTGCCTGTAGCTCTCTAAACATGGCCATCACTTGAATCATAGTTGGCCTCCTATAAGGCTTATCATCTAGACATTCAAAAGCAATCTTAAGATAATGGTATAGTTCAGCATCACCTGATACATTTGTTATTAATTCAGGATCCAGTATTTCATGACTTCTCTTATCTCTATGCAGCTGTTTTGCCCATCCAACAAGATTGTTGTCGTCCCCAAATTCAGATGGGTCGATTGGCCTCTTCCCAGATAGAAGTTCAAGTAATACAACACCGTAACTATAGACGTCTCCTTTGGTAGTGCACCTGAAACTCTGATAATACTCTGGAGGAACATAACCTGGGGTCCCGGCCAGTGTACTCACACTTAGATGAGTGTCGAGGGCATTCACAAGTCGCGCCATTCCAAAATCCGACACCCTGGCCTCGATGTTTTCATCTAGTAGTACGTTGCTCGACTTCATATCCCGATGAATTATATGAGGTATGCAGCTGTGATGAAGAAAAGCTAGTCCTCTCGCTGATCCAATGATTATTTTCTTTCTAGTTTCCCAATCAAGTTCTTTTTCCCTGTCATGAAGAACAGACTCCAGGCTTCCCCATTTCATGTACTCGTATACGAGAAGCCTTTCCTCCCCAATCTTACAGTAACCGAGCAAAGGCACAAGATTTCGATGTTTTATTTTTCCAATGGTCTCCATTTCTGCCATAAATTCTCGATCTCCCTGTCCTGTGACGTGAATAAGCTTCTTTATTGCAACAACGCTTCCATCTTTCAGTCGAGCCTTGTAGACCTCGCCAAATCCCCCTGACCCAATCAAGCTATCAGCACTGAAACCATTGGTGGCTTCGAGCAAATGTGCAAATGTGAGCTTCCGTAGAGGCTTTTCAAATGTTGCCACATTGATGCTTAGAGGCTCGGGCACACTAGAGAGTTTCCAACTGCTGCTACCAGAGGTTGGGAGGCTCTCAATATATTTTTCTCTGGTTTCCTCCTCGTGTTGCGTTATCTTAACCCTGTAAAGTGCATACATGAGCAAGAATATACAAACCAGAGACGACATAATGCCAATGACCATGCCTAATGTAATACTTTGCTTCTTCCCTCGACTAGAAAAGCTCGGTGAATGATGTCCATTTCCAGAGCCACAAGGAGGCAGGGGAACCCCACAAAGGCCTGAATTATTATCATATCTGGAAGCTGGAAATGTAGTCAACTGTCCACCTGAAGGAATTGTCCCCGTAAGGTTGTTGTTGGAAACATCAAGATCGCTGAGAAATGAGAGGCTCCCTAATGACCCTGGGACGAAACCCTGAAGATTATTGTGTGAGAGATCAAGAACTCCAACAGCCTTTAGACCTCCAAAGCTGAAGGGTATAGATCCTGTTAAGCTGTTGTGTCCCAAATTCAGAACCTGCAAAAAACTCATCGAACCCAAGTTTTCAGGGATTGTTCCTGACAAGTGATTATAGGAAAGATCAAAGTAGATCATGCTGCCATTGCTTGTAAAAGTGTAAACCGTGACACCAGAGTATATTCTCGTTGATGGGCATGAGTGAACCATGGGAAAAATTGCCAGCCTATCTGCACGAATTCCCTCGAATTCAACTAGTCCTCCAGCACCTCTGCATTCTGTCCCGCCCTCATTTCTCACAAATGCAAATTGTTTTCCTGAAACAATTCCAGGAACAAGAAGACCGGATTGTTCAGCAAGCTCGACTGGAATAGAACCAGTCAACTCATTGCTGTTCAAATCAAGCCATATCAGACTCTTGCAATTGCCAATGCTTTGTGGGATTACTCCACTAAGAGAATTGTTCCCCAACTGAAGGATAGCAAGGTTAACAAGGTTCCCAATATCCGCAGGTATTTCTCCAGTAATCCGGTTGCTAGACAACGAAATCCAAATTAAATTACTACACTTGACAATGGACTTGGGAAGAGTTCCAGTAATGAGATTATTGTTGAGAATCAGTGTCTGAAGATTTCCTCCTTTGATGCAAACGCCTTCTGGAATTTCACCCGTCAGGTTATTAGCCCACATAACCACGTCCGAAAGCTTAGGCAATTCCCAGATTTCCATCGGAATCGAATCACTTAGGCTATTGAAGCTGAGATCAATTGTCTTCAGGTTTCTGCACTGTCCAAGCTGGGATGGCACTGTCCCGGTGAGATAATTATTCGGCAGTAACAACTTCTCTAGAGCAGAATCTGAAGTTCTCGAGCAAAATCCAGAAGGTACATTCCCTGTCAGGGAATTTGAACTAAGGTCCAGAACCTGAAGCTGAGTACAGTTTGTCAAAGATTCCGGCACAGGACCAGTTATGTTATTGAATGGAACATACAGAAACTTGAGTTTTGTAAGGAAACTGACGACAGTACTAAGAAAATCGCCCGAGAGTTGATTGTTACCAATATTGAGACCGAAAAGTGAAGAACACGACGCAAAATTCAAAGGGAGTTCCCCAATTAACTGGTTCCCTGAAAGATCAAGCTCCTCAAGTGTCCCGCAAATTTGCCCCAATTCTGCCGGAATCTCCCCGGAAAACTTATTGTGGGCTAATGCCAATTGCCTCAAATTCTTAAGCTTCCCTAACAAGTTCCCTGGAATCTTAAGTTCGATTCCATTGTGGCTGATGTCGAAAATCTCAAGACTTTGGCAATTTGTTAGGCTAGTTGGAAATCCAGTAGCAGAAAGACTATTATAGGACAAGTTCAGTACAGTGAGATTACGACAAGTGCCAAAATCAACAGACATGAAATTTCCGGTGAAGTTATTATGTGAAAGATCAAGAATTTTCAAAGATTCCGGCGAGTAGGTTATGAAAGTACCCGGAATTTCACCGGAAAATTGGTTGTGTGAGAGATTCAAAGAAACAAGCCCGTTACAAGAGCGTAGCAAAGGCTCTGCAGCAAGGGGTTGTGAAATATTGTTGCGAGACAAATCAAGAAACTCAAAGCTGCAATATTTAGCATTTGAAGAAATATTTCCACTGAAAAAATTGCCGCTAAATTGAATATTTGCAAGATTAGGCAAGGCCATTAGATCAGAAAATTGAAGGTGGCCACTTAGGCCAGCATTGGTGAAGTCAAGTTTAATGACTGTACCATCATCAGAGCATGAAATACCACTCCATGAGCATGGGGTTGAAGAAGATGGAGCCCAGTTTTTCAAGAACCCTTTTGGGTCAGCTTCAATCGAGGATTGCTTGAAGGCCATTAAACTGCTGACGTCGCTTCTCTGTTTTTCAGACAAATTTCTTGCACTTGATCTCATTAAGAAACAACCCATAAGAAACATTATGAGAAAAACGAAATCTTTGTTCTTCATCTTGTTCTTGTTCTTGATCAGATAGTGTAAATGCCTCCAACTGCATAAAATTTATACTTTGTTTTCTGCATAAAACCTCTCCTCTTCAAACTTCTGGTCTCTTTTTATTACTGCAAAGCCACTCCCTCCATCTTGAATTGTTACGGAAGAAATTTCCTGAAAAGAAAAAATTGATTCAATAAAGCCAAGAAACATGAAAACAATCAGCTTATAATCAAAATCCAATCGCCCAATTGGAAACCAAAATTAAAAGAAAAGGCAAAATCAAACCTTTTTTACTCAATATTATTCACTGATAGTGGTAGTCTGGTAGGAGAGAAAGATGACAGGGAGGTGTGTGTGTGTGTGTATTTGTGTTTTTAGATGGAGAGAGACCAGATTTTAGTGTTAGTGGGCACCATGAAGTCTTTCACCCTCCAAAAGTGAGTTTTTTTTTTTTTCTGGGCGCGGGGGGTTAGGGGTGCTATAGAATGACAGACTAATCAAGTTCAGCGGCTAAATCCAACAACAGCAGCAGAAGTTAGTACAACTTTTTGGTTTTTTGTTCACTTGGATAATTTCACGAACTGATCATGTGCGTATTTTTTATTGAATTAAATCGTATAATAAAGTAATAAACAAATCAATCAATACGTCAAAAGTGATAAAAACATCCTCGTATAAAAAACTTGTACATAATAAAAAAATCTGTACAATTTTGTTTGAAATAGAATAAATTGTGTATTAAGGTAAAACAATAAAGCAGGGGACAAAACTTTTGGTGAGTCTTGAAAAATAAAGAGGAGGGGGTGAGATTTTAATTTTGAATATTCTAAAGTTGTGTGTATTGTTTTGTGGGTTGTGAGTGGTGGGGGTTGGGTGGCTCAAATGTTGTCTTTTTCCTCATATTTCGATTCAGTCAAACATGGGATTTGATTCTCTTATTTCTTTTTTTCTCTCTCTTCCTCGACACCTCTCACTTTCTTTTCTTCTACGTCTTTCCGTGACAATTGGTTGGGCTATTTTTACACACTTTTATTATTATTTATAATTAATGCAATTAGATGCTTAGACTCTGTATTCTGTCTCCCTATAATTAATTCACTACTTAACATAATAGTAAAGAGTAATGTCATTCATCCACATTGGGGTTACAAACACAGTGTAGATGACTTTAAATGATAAGATAATCATTTAATGTCACATTAACGGCACCTAAACTGTGTTTATAATTCCGAATGAGTAGCATTATTCAATATTAAATCATGTGGAATTTCATCAAAAAAGTAGGTGTAATCTATATTAAAAGCACAACTATTACAATTTGCAATCAGCCAAACCAAGTACTTTTTGAGATAATTTTATAATTGAAAACAAATTAACATTTCAATTTGTTTAAAAATTTAAAGCAACAATCTAATTTCAAGATCGTTGCTATATATAATTAATAACGTGTGTGCAAAATTTTCTGATTAAGTTGACATCAAAATATAAAAAATGTGAAAAACCAATGTTAGACTATTAACAGACTATCGATTGTCATGTCGATTATGCTAATTAGCGACAAATGTCAAAGATTGAGTGGGTGAATTTTTTTTTAAAAAATGATTTTATAACAATATACGATCCCTACTTTTGGTGTATTATATGAGTAAAAGTTTTATCATATTAATTAAAATATTATAAATACAAAATTTCATATAAAACAAATTTTACTATATTTATTTGAAAGTGGTTGCAATATAATAAGTTGAAACGTGACATGAGGCACGGGGCGCGGGACTTGGGGTTTGATGCTTATAGAAAAATGAGTCTCTCTCTCTCTCTCTATATATATAAAAAATGTCTGTCCATGTGTTGGGGGGCGTTTTTGTCAGTATGCACTACGCACGGGTACGACTGAATCCTATTCCCCGCTAGACCTAGACACCTTACCTTTCCTTAGATTCGCATTATGCCATCACCAAAATCAACATTTTGTTCTTTTTCTATGTATAGGTCTTGATTTTTTCGTTTCTTTATTAATTTAAATCAAGTCGATTTGACGTGGTATCAACGTACAATTTACGTTATTACACATGTTGGCTGAAGAGGACAATCGAATACTCGTAAAGAGTCAAGTGACTAGATAAGAAAAGACGAGAAAAATGTTAATGTAATAACTGTTAACATCAAAATTCGGTGACCAACAACAATAGATGCTAGGTGTTTGGGTGATCGTCAAGCGCAGACTGATGACACTTAGGAGCATGCGATGGTTGTGGATAATGAGATATCTAAAGAGAGGGGCATCAACTAACTCTGGATGCAATAAGGTGAATATGCACGATTTTAATGAGTTTGCGTTGATGTTGTCGGGGACGCAACAATGGAATTGTGTTCTGACAATGAGATTGAGGTTGATGCAAATCCAATTGATCTTGTTGATTTGAGCAAAGGGGTGGATTCGACCAAGATAATGATGAATACTGAGAATCGTATTTTATGGTTGAAATATAGCCGTTGTTTATCTTTCATTATTTCAAATTTTTTTTATATATATTCATTTTTAATTACACATTCATACAATATGATATCCTACACATATATCCAAAAACATTTCCTATTTTTTAACTATATATTTTACAAAAAATCACAATTCAAAATAATATTTTTCAAAAAAAATGACCTCCACATAGAAGCTTTAGTTAGTATTATGATTTGAGCATAGCCCATATATCAGTAACAAGAGATCCTAGTATATTGACTAGTGACAACATTCTACTTCCAATATCTATTTTCATTTATCTTCCGCACTCATATTGGCGTGTTATCACTACCCCAAAATATCTAGGTAGCCACCATTTCAGGGTTGTCTTTCATTAGTTTAATTGATAATTTAGGTATTAGTATAGAAAAAATTACAAAATTTGTTTGCTATTCAATTAAAGTTGCAATTAATTTTAACTCGGTCAAACACATAGTTCTCGTGGGTTCGACACTCTATTCATCATTATATTATTTGATCACGATCCCGTGCACTTGCGGGTTTTCAAAGAATCACTTCACGACTCTAATTCATTTACTTACCAAATAAATTATTTATGAATTATCACAGATTGGTAGATGTAATAATAGTTAGCTATGGTCATGGTTATAAATGGAATGGTTAAATCGAAAAAAAAGTATAAATTGAGTGATGAAATTGAAGTTGGGATAGCGTCATAAGTAGGGTGACCTCCGGTAAAAAAAAGTTCTACTAAT